GCAATATTTTCTTTGACAGAAAACAAAAAGAATGAACGATTAAAAATAAATTGGACTTCAACAAAAGAAAACTTCAAGAAGACACAAGAAAATGAAAGGACAATCTGCAGATCTGTGGGGAGAGGGAGAGAGGGAGGCAGGCAGGCACCGCCTGAGTCTGGTCATAAGAAATGATTAAAAAAAAACCCATATTGAAGTTCAACATACAGAATGAAGGACCCATATACGTTAAAACTTACATGGACATAAGCAGCGGGAAAAAATGAGGAACTGCTGCAGATTAAAGAAGTCTAAAACAAGACAACTAAATGTGACGTGTGTTCCTGGACTGAATTTTGTACCGAAAAGGAAAAGGAGACAATGCCGAGATAGTTGGGAACATGTGAGTGGGGTCACCAATTCATAAAGTGATGGCAGTGTCACACTGGGATTCCTGACTGGGCGGGCTGATTATGTAGGAGAGTGTCCTCACTTTGGGAAGATACACACTAGGGTATTGAGCAGTAATGGGCCCCCATGTCTGAAAAAGTCTGTATGTATAGGACAGAAAAGGTGAAGGAACAAATGTGGTAAAGTACAAACAACTGCAGAATCTGGGTGAAAGGGAGGCAGGAATTCTTTGTATTACTTTTGAACCCGTTCAGTGTTTTTGAAATTGTTTCAAAACTGTTTAAAATGTAACAATAAACAATAAATAGATTACTTGATAAATAGATAAGTGAAGAGATATACCATATTTATGAAAGTAAGGCTCAGTATTACACCCAAACTGTGCTAATGATCTGTATGAAGTCAGTTAACAAGTAGGGGAGCTAAAAACCATTCACTGCAACCGCTTATTAAAAACCTTTACTGGCTCCACATTACCCACCCACCTAGTAAAGAGACAATGCCTGTAAAGCACCTGACTTATTAACCTAGTACATTAATGGTAAGTAAACGCCTTTTAGTATCCCGTCAAAACTCTCAGTCTGGTATTTAAAGACCTTCATAATGTGGCCACAATTTGTCTCTTCTTTTTTACTCATTTATGTATTCAATACAAATTTATTGTCTTTTCTGCCTCAGTCACTATATTAGGTCCTGGGGAGACACAATGAATAAAATAAATTTAACTGCCGTTTTCGGTGGTTAGGTGAAACTATTATCCAAGCCAAACTCGTCACTCACCGTTCTGAAAAAGGGCTTTCCTGTATCTGAATGTTTTCATTTCCTTATTCAATAAACATGCAACTACATTCCCAGTTATCACTGTACCCATTTATCGAGGCATGATTCAAAAGCTTCCTTCTCAAAGAAACTTCTTTGATGATTTCTCAAGTCAAATAATGACCATTTATTTGTTCCTCTTATACAGTTCTTATTACATATAGCCTTTTTACTTAAGTTATTTAGACAAAGAAATTTAGAGCAGAAAGAGATCATGTCTGACAAACTCCAGTACCATTAGTGTAAACCGGTTTGTAAAGAATCTAGGTTTAACAGGACTGGTGAGGGCTGTGACCAAGTAAAGAATATACGCCCTCCCTTTAAAAGCATTCAAATTCACATTCTTCTTCAAACTGTGGGCAAAGATACACCTTCTAGTTGGGTTCTCTGATATAGACTGAGGTCCCACTCCACCTCCTCAGCTCACACATAAGGAAACAAGACCCAGGCAGGAAGTACCTTGGCCAGTGTGTCTCAAAGTTCTGGGCAGAAGCAGAAACCTGGTGGTCACAGACACTTTTTTCAACTTTTTTAATCCCCCAGCTGATTTAGCCTTGAGGACTGAATGTCTCAGGGTTGGTGACCAAACACCGGTTAAATGACTCAGCAGTACCCTCTCCGCATCTGGCTATCTGGAGGCCAGGCCCCTTTCACTCACACTGTGAGGGGGGATTGCCTCAGTCAGGTGCCTGATGAGGTGAAGCCGTGACAGGAGCCCAGACCCAAGAGAGTGGCCGTTTAACCTGCTTTGATTCCAGACATACCTCGACAACGCTGGGGAGTGCAGCCACATTAAGCGGGGCCCCCACACGATTCTCTACACACACCTAACCCCTTCCCCCCTCCCCCACGTAGGCAGACCCCTGGCGCCCCCCTTCGCCCCCAACAGAGCCTCTCCTCTACCCAGCCCCCACCTCAGGCTTACCTTGAGAGATGACCAAGATGCAGAAAAAAACTAGGAAGAAGCGGACGTTGTTAAAACACGGACAGCGGGGAATAACCACACAGCCTAAGCCGCAAAGCCCCTCCAAACTCTCTTTCTGTTGTTCTTGTACCTTCTTGGTACTGGAGGGCGAGGTGTGAGACAGGTTGCTTTCCTTTTCTTGTAATTCTCCCTGGCTGGCTGGAATGGTCCTCAAGCCTGTGTTTTCCTCCCCAGCTTCCCCGGCCTGCAAGGGCTTGGGGACCTCGGCAGGCTCGGCCTGCGAGGCCTTGGGCTCCACTTCCGCTAGGTCTTCCTGCATGGCGCTCCCCGGGCCCGCTGGGGCGGGGTCCTGGCTCACGTCGGTCCCCGCAGGCCGGGCGGGGTGCGGGCGCGGCTCCCACTGGCGCAGAGCGGCCTGCTCTTCGAGCTCCAACCGAAAAGCCTGCGAGGCTCGGGCGCGGGGGCCAACGGGGCACCCGCAACCCAGACCTCCAGAGGGAATGTTTCTCCTTGGGCAGGAGGCAGACGTCCCGTGGGTAGGTTGACAGTTGGCCCGGCTGACAGTTGGCCCGGAGAACTTCCAGGGCTGTATAATTCTTTGCTCCCACGTGGGGGAGGGGGAGGGGTGGGGAAGCTAGTACTGCTGGATTCTGGTAACTGCTCACACAGACAGGGAACGCCACAGTAACTCTAATGGAAAGGATCCATTAGATGGTTTGATTCACTAGCATCAGAGGATGAGAGGGCAGGACCAGACATGCTCCTCCACCCAGGAGCAGGCAGGACCAGGTGAGGGCCGGGACAGGTGAGGTCAGGCCCAGGAGAGGGCAAGACCAGGAACTGTCAGGCCCATGAGAGCACAGGACCAGGAGAGGGCAGGCCAAGTAGAGGGCTGGAACAGGAGAGGGCGGGCCTAGGAGAGGGCAGGACCCAGTGAGGGTAGTCCCAGGAGAAGGCAGAACAACCAGTAGAGGACAGGTCCAGGTGAAGGCAGACCCAGGAGAGGGCAGGCTCATGTGAGTGCAGGCCCAGGAGAGGGCAGACCCAGGAGAAGTCAGGACAATGTTAGGGCAGACCCAGGAGAAGTCAGGACAATGTTAGGGCAGGCCCAGGGTAAGGCAGGAACAAAAGATCAGGCCCACGAGAGGGCAGGACCAGGTCAGGGCAGGCCCAGGAGAGGGCCCTAACCTTATCCTGCCTTCTCCTGGGCCTGCCTTCTCCCAGGCCTGCCCTCACCTGGTCCTGCCCTCTGCTGGGCCTGCCCTCTCCTGTGCCTGCCCTTACCTGGGCCTAAACTCTCCAGGGGTTTTACTGACCTGGGCCTACGCTCACTTGAGCCTGAACTCTCCTGGGACTGCGCTGACCTGGGCCTGCGCTCACTTGGGCCTGCCACACGTGCGCCTGCCCTCTCTTGGTTTTGCCCTATGCTGATCCTGCTTGCACCTAGGCCTGCCCTCTCCTGGGTCTGACCTCTCCTGGGCATGCTCTCACATGGTCCTGCCCTCTCCTGGGCCTGCCCTCACCTTGTCCTGCCCTCACCAGGGCCTGCCCTCACCTGGGTCTACCTTCACCCTGTTCCACCCTCTCCTGGGTTTGCATTCTCCTGGGCCTGCCCTCTCCTGGGCCATTCCTCTTCTGGGCCAAATATTATTAGATCTCTCTGCAGTGCTTTACGTTACATGTCATGCCTTTCTTTAGCACTTTAAGCCATCTTAAGCCATTCAAGAATTAGTTGTATTTTGATTTCATTAAACTAGGGCTAAGAATTGTGGTAGGAAAGGTATGTTTTCTTCGTGTCTTTTATTCTAAGACTTATTCAGTGTATGACAGATCTTTGTGGACACCTCCCTTAAATATTGATGTCTACCTATTACACAAAATTTGCTTTCTCTTGACTATTATCTATAGCTTTCTCTTCCTGGCAACACAACTCCTTTCTTTTTTCTTTTGCTCAGTTTTCCTTCTCTATTCTAGTGAAAGTGCTTTGATACCAAAATAAGTTTACACAGCATTCATTCATTTCACATGTATGAAATATGTATGTGTAATATACATGTATAGAAATAAATGTTACACTATAATGGGACTGTAGCAGATCCCTCAGTTACTTACATGTCTTGTTAAAATTAATTACCTTGTACTCCCCTCAGAAATAGCCCTGGAGTTGACGAATAGGTGGAATATAATTCGAGGAATTGCTCCAAGGTCCTGTTGCTCCTTCATATATCCTGCTTTGCTGTCTGAAATTCCACATGTCCTTTCTGATAAACATTGTAGTTCCAGAAAAATCCTGCTAAAATATAAGTATTTGCTTAATAATCATAAGCACGTTAACTCTTCAATACCTTAGTATAAACTTGTTTATTTTTTTTAAACAGCTAGTTGCCTAGTTGTGGAATGCTTTCTTTCCCTCCATTTATTATTCTTTCATTTGTCCTCACATTCAGCACTTAATGTTTGTTATATATCATGCTAGAGGCTGAGGAGACCAAAGAATCATAATAGTTCCCTTGGTCTAGCAGGAAAAAAGCAAAGAGCCATTCCATGAAGTCTTGTGGGGCCTGTCTCTTAGAGGGCTCCCTTAGAAAACTTAAATGATCTAAAAGAGAGATGTGCAGGTAAATTTCACTTACTGAAAGGATTCCTAGGGCATGCACTGAGATTCATGATGAATTTAGATACTATTCCAGGGTAGTATTTATTGATTTGTAGAAGTAGATGACACTATAGCATTGTCCAGTATGTAATAACTATCAAGAATATTTAGCAGTTAGAAGTTTACTTTAGTCCTAAATATTATTTCATGATGCTATAAGTACCTGTATTAAAAGTAACCTCATTCCCTTTTATCCATTCCACAAAAAATGGACAATTTACTGTAATTACACTTCTCAAATAGCACTTTGAGTAGTCGTATAAAAAGGATAAGAAAAATAGTATTAGGTTACGTGATTATTTGACAGCTCTAGGGAAACTTTTCAATTTAAAATTCCAAGTGATATAAGAAATTTTTATGATATTTGTAAGCCAACAAGTAGACATGTGAATATCCCACAACACAAGATATTCTGGAAAATATCCTCCCCTGCCCAGGATGAAGTAACAGGGACCAGATTTATCTTGCTGCCTGAAACAACCAAAAATAGACACAGTGTATTAAACAATGTAACTGTGATAATATTTCTGTACCTAGTTGACAGGAATAAAATCCTGATAATAGAATTGCTTATGTGGCAGTGTAGAAACAGAATACTTTCATATATTGCTTGTAAGATGACAAAATGGTGCAACTCTGATGAAAAGGGTATCTTTAATATCTAAAGCAATTGCAGATATGTTTGCCCTTTATGCCAGCACTTGTACTTCTTGCAGATCTTATTGCAGATATCGTGCCTACTGATATATTTACATTCGTAAGGCTATCTATATATACAACCACATATTATTTAGGTAACAACATGGACTAGTACTAGATGGAGGGTCACTACTAGGGGGCAAGCAAACTGGCAGAATTTCTGGTGATCACATGGGGCTAAGAGTGACAGCATTCTTTATCCTCTGGAGAAAGCTGACGAATTCTGAAGCTGTGTGAGGCTTAAGTCTAAGGAGGAAGGTATGATTTATCTCTATCTCTCCATCAAGATGCTCATTAAGAAAAGCTAGTTCTTAAATTCTTTCCGTTCCGTCCTTCATTATTTCAACCTGTTTATGTATTCTCTCTTGTGATAGTTACCATGGATTTAAACAAGAAGGTGGGTGAGCACTTTAAGGAAAAAAAGGTGAAATAAAAAAGGAAAAGAAGTGACCAGGCCCCTGCTGCCCCTGCTGCCCTGATGGACCTTGGATAGAGAGCAAATAAAAAAAGTAGTTTCACTAATAAGTATTCAATTGTAATATTAAAACATACTGCAAGGAAACTGTAGAAGATGCAATGAGAAAATTATGGTTCAATCTAAATTTGTCTGGGGATTCAGAGAGGGTAACCATGAAGAAATCGTATCTAAGCTGAGCTGTAAAGGTTGGGGGATGAGACTTTCACACAGCGGGAACAACATATGCAGACACTCTGAGTTGAAGAAATAGCTTTATAAGAGCTAATTATAAGAGCTGTGCTAAACAATGTCATAGGCAAAAGTTATGAGGTGGCATGCGATGAGGCTGATGAGATCAGGCTGACCTTGTAACTTTTTTTTTTTTTTACAGTTCTAGATTTTATCCTAAGAACAGTGGGAAGCCATTGAAGGATCCTAATGGGGCAGTGAAATAATCAGAATTTTACCTTAAAAAAAAATCACTTTGGCTCTAGGTGGAGAGTGGACTGAAGGGATAAGAATACTTGTTGGGAGATAAGTTAGGAAATTGTCACATTTTCTTCAGGCAAAACACACAAGCTTGGAATAGGCCAGTAGAATTAGGGATGAAGAAAATCAGAGACAAGGATACGAAAAAAATTTTTTTAAGTCACAGCATTTCATGATTGAATGTGGTGAATGAGGAAAAGTACTCTTTCAAGGATGACGCTTTCCAGGTTTTAGGCTTGAAAACTGCATGGATGATGATTCCACTTACTGTGACTGGGAGCACTAGGGGAAGAGCAACTTTTATGCAGGATAGGAACTTAAGTCCAGAACTTAAGAAAGATACGCACTGAAAACATAAAGCTAGAAGTCATAAGAGATATTAGAAGCTGCCTTTTACATTTTGGAAGAGTACTAACAAATGTTTTGTTTATTCCGTGAAATTCTTTTCTCTCAGTGGAGGTACTAGGAATTGAACCCAGGACCTCATGCATGCTAAGTATTCCATGAAATTCTTAAACCATCAAATCATAACCTTACTCCTTATACGAATACAAAAAAAATCACTTCATTGTTAAAAACATACTAATATTTTTCTTTAAAGTTTTGTTTTTTATACCTATTATTTATTGTTTTGCTGTTCATTTAATTGATTTGGAAAATCAATTAATCTTTTCATCTTCTTTTGTATATCACCTAGAAAAAAGGTT